TGTTGCAGAATTGTCAATCATTTTGGAAGGAACAATGGTACCAGATCAGATTATGAATTAAAACTTTGCAATCAGTTATTGGTGAAAATAATCATAAGGTTTGTAACAGAGAATGAATGAATGAATGAATGAATGAATGAATATCTAGGAGAATAGTGACATAGATTAAAAGTCAGTTTATACTTGAGATTTCCAAAGGGAGGCCTACTGTATGAGGTAACTGTGCCTTCACTAACTGGAGTCCTTCCGTCTCAAGTCGATGGGTGCTAGTGTTTCAGAAGCAAAGGGATTCGTTCCCAGCTTTGAATATTTGTAGGATTAGCAGCCACTAAACCCAGATGCTGACTTCAGTATTTGGAGAACAGAGAACGTCTGACATGGCTCTTCCTGCAAAGCATGCAGGGCATTTCCTTGATAATTCGATGGAATGGTTACTATGTTTGGAAGACAGAAGAAAAAGACTTTTCTTTCTTTGAATATCTGGGTTTCCTAATTTTCTGACATTAATTATTTTCCTTGTTGATGACCTTGAACAGTCTTGGGAGAAGGTCTCAGTCCTTACAGAATAAAACACATGGTCATCTGTAGAGCTGAAATGAGCAGACAGCATATTCTGTAAGCTCCAGTGTGGTGTTCATGTTAGATTCATTTTAGAAAGACCAGAAAAAAATTTCCCATCAATTTCCTATTCATTTTAAATATTTCTAGTTAAAATTCATCCTCTTTAATTAGTTAATGCTTTTGCAAGGGTTTTATTTTTTGAAGTTTATAAACACCTTCCAAATTATCAAGATTCCTATAATGGTTTTGCTTTTTTGAGTGAAAAATGCCTCAAAAGAAGTTAGACTTTTATTTTTTATGTTGCTGTTGGTATGTGTATGTGTGCATACATGCACATCTGTGTATGTGTGCTTGTATGAATGCTAACATTTGTGAACGCATGTGTATCTATATGTGTCTGTGCATACCTATGGAGACTCAAGTTGATGCTTGGTGGCTCTTTTGATTGCTCTCTGCTTTGTGTATTGTGGAAGGTTGCTATCTAAGCCCAGGGTTCTCCAATTCCAGATAGTGTATCTAGCCATCTTGCTCTAGGTATCTTGTCTCTGCCTCCCCAGTGCTGAGATTACAGGAAGGTCACAACATGGGTGCTGGAATCTGACCTCTGGTTATCTATTGAGTCACTCTACAGACTTGACTTTCACTTTTGCTCATGATAATTTGCAATAGAAACAATTTAGATACATTCATTATGAAATAAGTTTATGGAGGTGTATTTGGGAATTGAAATATTTTAAGATGTGTATTTCTGTCTTCCCAATTGTGTCTTTGTAGATGGAGGCTGCTCTGTTGTTTTCCAGCTGCCCAGCCCCAAAATAACCACACCGAAACTATATGAATTGCAACACTGGTTGGCCAATTAACTTATGCATATTTCTAGCTACCTGTTATATCTTATACTGACCCATTTCTATTTATCTTTGTATTTGTAAATGGTTGTGGCCTACCAGTAAAGTTCAGTCTGGATCCGGTGTCTGTCTCCTGCAGTGGCTACATGGCTTCACTTTGACTCCACCTACTCTCTCTATAAATCTCTTCCAGCCTGGCTATATTCTGTTAAGCCATTGGCCAAAAGTAGCTTCTTTATTAACCAATGGCAATGAAACATATTCATGGTATACAGAGGGGAATCCCACACATCATAGCTTTAAGAACTATTCCAGCAGCGAATGTTACTACCATTTTATATATGCTTTCTAATTCTGCAAAAGGAGTTTTATGCTAAGGAAAGAAAAACAGCAGTTTCTCTGTCTTTACCTCTCTCACCATATATGTATCCATACATAATCATATATACAAACATATATGTATAGAGGATATTTAACCTCTTTTAAGATGTAGACACGTGCTCACTCATATTAATATGCATACATAGAGACACACATACAAGTTATGTGCACACACACACATGCCTGAAAGCAAGAGTGTTATTAAAGATTATTTTGACTGTTAAGAGAATATTTACTATGGAAAATGTAATATCTACTTTGTGACGTTGACATTAATGGAAGACACGTACATGTGAGACCACTGAAGTAAATGAGAATTCTCTATGACTTCTGCTCAATTTTGTAAAGAACCCAAAACTGCTCTTTTTAAAAATAAAGGTTAAGTGACTGAGGAATATTTCTCAGCAAAGCACTTAAGTGACAAGTAGGAGAACCAACTTGACTCCTAACTACCACATATAAATGGCTGATAGAGTGGCATACCTTTTGTAATGTCAGCACTGGGCTCACTGGCCAACCAATTTAGCCTAATCAGTGAGCTACTGGCCAATGAGCTACCTTATGTCAATGAAAGTAAATGGCATTCCTAAAGATGATAGTCAAGTTAGCTCTACCACCTCTGCATACATGGACAAACATGAGTATGTGCATTGTTCCCCCCACAGGTACCTGCACACACATGAACACATATACACATAAAAATATAATTAAAAGTAAATGCTATTAAAATAGTTGTTGCAATGTCATGCTGGAGAAACTTACATAAGTTAGCTAATCCAGACAAAACTCCTTTGACAATATCAATATTCCGCATGATAATGATGCAAGTCTTCCATATTTTGCAATATACATTAAGACAAAATTCGTCAGACTATGAGAGGCATTGCTAACTTCAACAGTCAAATATGTGGCATAATTGATTTGCAGTGACTGTCTGCTGAATGATACACTTAAATGGTTCACTTCTTTTGCTGAGTTGGCCAGTTTCACTTCCCAGTTTTGTGTTCACTTTCAGAGCTGAAGGGAAGATGACATTTTTGGTGTCACATGTCACCACAGCCATATACCACCACAATTATTTTTGGCTGTGTGTGAATGCTGAAGTCACACCATGAAGGGAAGAGTGGCAGAGAGTTATTAGGTGAGGGATAGGAAAATAGAAGCTAGAAGTTTAGAGCAGTACTTGCCTTGGCTTCCCTTGCCTTTGGGAAGTGTAATCTTTTCATGATGTCATTCTGTCTAGCACTTTGTGTGATGACACAGTCTAAGAAGATACAGCACATCATCTGCCTTGGCAGTATCTCCATATCTTCTCAGGGCCACTTGTTCAGTTGCAAATCCTTCGAATTGGGAGGCTTCCAATGCTTCCTGATTTGGCAGGAGAAGAAAGTAGAGCCAGTGCTATAAGCTTCCTCCTGATTGGGTAGGAGAGGACGGTATAGCTAGTGCTGTAAACTTCCTCTTGATTGGGTAGGAGAGGAAGATGGAGCCAAAGCTGTAAGTTCCACTATAGCCCCTTATGGGTTCTGAGTCCCTTAGAGGGCTAGTACCTGCACTAGTCCATGGTCTTCAATGCTGCTTCTGTAAGTGTTCCTTCACTAAAATTTCTATTAAGGCATTAGCAATTGAGCGATTAAACTAGCTCCATTTTATTCCCCTTTGAAGCTTTGGGCACCCTTAGATACTTCATGTATTAGCAGTAATCTCTGCTACAGCTTCCCCATGCTTTTACTGTCCTCTGCCTATCCCTGCAGTTTGTCTGAAGAACTCTAAACTGGTGAACCAGGGTTTTAGGAAAGTCCCTGTTTCCTTACACTTACTCTAAAAGTTACCCACTAAATTTTCCTCTCCAAAATTACCCACTTTTGATTTTGAGAAATTTAGACACCCCTAAAACTCTAGGTGCCCCGCATTGACAGCTTTCCTAGACATCTAGAGCAAACACAGGTTAGTAGGGGAGACAGAACGCAGTGTTTAGGAATGCTGTCCATGTCTAGGCCCAGAGTTGTTCTACTTACAGGACCTGGACTGGGGCTTGGGCTTGTTCTCCTTGGGCAACGGAGAGTCTGCTCAATAAATGAAAAAGTTAATAGAATTCCATGTGTCAGGGAAGTTTTTATCAGCCTGGGTCAAAGCACTCTAAACGAATCATTAGTGAAAAAAGCTACAACTCATTATAGAATCAATCAAAGTGGAGCTTAGATATTCAAGACTCTACATGCTTTATTGTACAAGTGAAGAAATTGAGAACAAACAAGCAAATCCTGCTCAAAGTTAGGATTCTGTCAAGTGCAGAATTAGCATTCCTTCCCTGTTTTGTTCAACACAGTTGAGTTTTATCTAGTCATGCCAGCAGGAAGTGTGGAAGAAGCTATAATACTTTGCTGGGAGACAGCGAATTAATTTCAAAGTAATCAATAATGCCTCAAGAATAAATCTGATCTCCAAGCTAATTTAAACAGAACTCCCTTCCCCCACCTCCCTCCCTCTCTCCCCCCTCTCTCTTTCTTTTCTCTCTCTCTCTCTCTCTCTCTCTCTCTCTCTCTCTCTCTCTCTCTCTCTCTCTCTCTCAAGGTTTTACTATATTTGGTATTAGTTTGGGAGAATGTAGTTCATGTAACTGGTTGATCAAACTGTAAAGCCACAAGAGGAGAGAATTGTTATATAGAATGGTTTCTGTTCTTCAAATGGATGCAATAACAATGTCCTTCATTATGAAGTAAAGACTGTGTGTGAGTCTTGGCGCTGAAGATATGAGTGTACAAGTCACTGTGGCCTCTGGAACTTCAGTTACTTGGCTTTCTCATCCCTTAGTGATATTTTTGACATGTACAACTATGAATTTATGTTACTATATTTGGCATAAGTATGTATTTTTATTTATAGCAGACATGATAGCTTTGAAATAAAAAGGGTTTCCCAAGTTATTCCTAAATATTCTGAAGATTTCTGAGGGAAAATTTCTATTTTATGTAATCAGATCAGCGACTTTATGATTTCTGACTCAAGTGCTCACTTGCAGATTTTTATGGTTGAACGTGGAAGAAGCAGATGACTGATAGTCACAGTTTGCTCTCTTGTGCTCCCTGTCTGTCTGTCTCTCTGTGTCTCTCTGTGTATCTTTGTATCTGTCTCTCTCTCTTTTTCTCTCTCCTTGGCCTCATCATTTGTGAACCCTTAACTCACTAGGATCTATTTCATTCTTTGCAGATAAATGTATTACCAGAAATACAGCCTCAGCTTTGCAGAAAAGAAGGCCTGTGTCAAATGATCAGAAGATTTCCAGGTAACTGTTAGTTTTCTTCTTGATGCATGAGCATTTGACATCTGGAGGCTTCTATATAAGTCACAAATAACAAGGCCTCAAGGCATCGTCCCCAGCTTCCCCTCCTGTCAACTCCACCATCACAAGTCCTCCCTAATGCCCAGGCTGTGCCAATGGGAAGGCCCTGTAATACCTCATACTAGGACAGCTGGTACTTTAGTCTTTTGTTTTTTCCCTCTGGCTTGCCAGGTGTCTGTTTTTATTTGTCTTATCTGTTTATTTTTAAAAATTATTCTGCCTTAGTTTAAAAATGATTGTTGTAGCTCTTAGTTATATATAACTTGAGTTTTTAAAAAGATTCATGATTATGTCATTGCGCAGTTATTTTTGTTTTGCTTTGTCAACTTGAAAGGGTCATCTGGGAAGAGGAAAGTTCAACTGAGGAACTATCTACGTCAGACTGGCCTGTAGGCAAAACTATTGTAGTAAGGAGGCCACTTGATGGTTCCCGGCTGCTCAGCCCCAAAATAAACACACATAAATAATATTATTTAAAACACTGCTTGGCCTATTAACTCTAAATTCTTATCGGCTAGCTCTTACATTTTAATTTAACCCATTTCTATGTAATCTTAGTAACACTGCTCCAGCTGTGCTACAAGGCTTCTCTCTGATTCTGCCTTCTTCCTCCCAGCATTCAGCTTAGTATTCCCCGCCTAGTTCTGTTCTACCCTATCAGGCCAAGTCAGTTTTCTTTATTAATTAGCCAATCATATTCACAGCATACAGAGGGGAATCCCACATCAAACTGTGGGACATTTTCCCCCTTGATGTTTGAGATGGCTCGCACAAATATTGGCTAGTACCAACAGGGGTGGGTCGGTTGGTTCTAGCTTATATAAGAATGCAGCTTGAGCATGGAAAGCAAGCCAGTAAGCAGTACTTCTGTGTGACCTCTTCTTCAGTTCCAGCCTTGAGTCCTTGCCTGAATTCCCTTTATGGTAGACTACAAGCTGTGTGGTGAAACAAACCTTCCTGAGTTGCTCTTGGCCATGGTGGTTTATGATAGCAGCAGGAAGCACACTAGAGCAGAGATTCGGTTCTCAGAATTTTGTTTTTTCTTCTCTGAAGTCCTCCCCCTGTGTTTAAGGCAGGACAATCAATGAAGTTCTGTCTTTACTGTGTCAGGAATTTGGGAGAAAGATCACTACCTCCAGTCCCTGCACGGTGCCATGAGTGGAAAAGATGTCAGAAGGGAACTGAGCCTCTAGAGATGAAATCAGTCTTCACAGATAAAGTTATAGCCTACCTTAGAACTCATTGGTGAGAGTACTTCCCATTTCTTGTCTAAAACCCATTAATGTTTGTACCCTTAGGAAATGTTTTCCAACATAATTAAAATTTAGATCTGCATGACTTTGCTTCTGTATTTATTAATTTATGCCTTGGTGGAGTCAGAAAACTGGCTTTTGCGTGGGGGTTTTTGCCTCCCAGTCAAGTGTCAGACTTGTAGGCATGTCTCACTGTACTGAGGGCATTCTCCTTTCCATTTACCAAGGTTGAAAACGAAAGCAAATTGGTAATTCTTCTTTAAATTGAAGACATAGTTCTAAGGTAAATAGTGAGTGGATTTTGTTCTGTTTGTGTTGTTTCTCAGCACAGTTATGTGCAGACTATGCAGAGCCGACGACATAGTCATGACTTATTTATTTGCTTGCTTGCTTGTTTGTTTTTAAGCCGAAGACTGGATAGCTCAGCCTGGTCTCAGATTCCCTGAGTGGTCAATACTATCCTTGAATTTCTGATCCCCCTGCCTTTACTTCTCAAGTGCTTTGGATTTAGGTGTGTGCCTAAGATAGAAGTCTCCATGTCTCCCCATTCTGTCTTTGGTGCAGGGATAGGAACGGAACCAGAGCCTTGGCATGCCAAGAAAGCATTCGACCAGTCAGCTATACCTCCAATTAGCTTGTTATTTTATAAAAACATAATGTGGGTCTGTAGAGAAGACTCAGTCAGTAAAACATCATCTCATAAGCATACATACCTAAGTTTGATTGCCAACATCTATGTCTTACCAATTCACTAAGCCCTAGGTTCAATCAGAGACCGTGTCTCAAAAATAAGGTAAAGAGTGGTTGTGGAAAGACACTTGATGCCAACCTCTGTCCTCCATACATAGATGCACACACCCCTGCACATACATACATACCCTCAAATTAATAAGTAATAAACAAAAAGAATGCTCTTCTGGTGTAAGTAAAACAATTATTTCTACCACTAAATATTAATAAATATCAGAGTACCTTTAGTTAAGATAACTAATGTCTGCATTTTAAGCACAGCTTCCAGGTTTTAACTTGTTGTTTTGGTGTTGCTATTGTTGTTGTTTTCCCACTGTAATTTATATGTAAGGATGGTTGTTCAGAACAAAAGCCTTTTAGTATCATGGAAAATAGAAGGACAGCATAGCAGTGAATGAGTGTTTGTGGTATGAAATATTTTTAAATACACACACACACAAACACACATACGTATTCCTCAAGAAAGTCTGATGTGTTATATTTTTCCTTGCTTTCATAAAATTAGGAAGGAAGCATTTTCTGCCTTCTTTAGTTTAAAAATGACTTTACACTGAAGAACATCACCAATTCTAAAAATATCTAACCCCTTTATTCTCTATTCTCTCTCTCTCTCTCTCTCTCTCTCTCTCTCTCTCTCTCTCTCTCTCCTCTCCCCCTCTCTCACTTTCTGTTTATCTCTGTGAGTAGCAAGATAGTTTTGTGAAATCATATCTTCTACCATGTTATCTTTTTGAGTTGAAGATAATCTTCTTAAGAGTCTAGCTTTAAAACCATGGACCTACAACACTATTTTTCTGCTTTAAATTTTATAAACAGTAGCATTTATGATGCTTCGGTCTATGGATACACAAAATATTATATAAACTTATTCACAGACTGAGACTAATTGGTTTGCCAAGAATGTTGAGTATTTCATAGTGAGTGCAGACTGGATAATAACACCCTGTACTTAGTATATGGGGTCATTCAAAAGTTGGGTCATTCAAGGGCAGAGGAGAGCAGTGTATGACCCTATTCCCTTACTCAGGAGATGAGGCATGATGGTGAATTTGAAGCCAGCTTGACTGGTTACACACTGTCTCCAAAAGAAAATCGTGAAAATAAGAGAATGAGTATGAAGCATTGATCCACTGCTGAGCCCACTGGACTGCAAAAGACAGCATCAACACTATGGGATGCACAAAGTACTGGTCAATATCAGTGGGTCACAGACAAAATTAATATTTTTGTACCAGAGGGTGGGGGGGAAAGATTTGTCTTATTGGAGAGAACAAGGAGTTGACAGAATGGTAAGGAGGTAGCTATATATGACATACATGTGCGAAGTGAAAAGACTATGAAAATAAGAAGATGCATATGGAATATTTAGCATAGCGCTTGCAATATAGAAGTGCTCACTTAGCAGCTATTATTTTTAGAGGGAAAGCAAACATAAAAAACAAAATTAAATATAATGCTATATAATATATTTTGTTTAAAGCCAAAATAACCTGTGTCGTTTTAGGCTGTGGATTATTCAGAGCTTAAAATACATTGAAACCAGAGGTTTTAGCCTTACTTCTAGTTAGCAATATGAATTACTCAATTTTATAGATTTTATTTGGTGCTGCTTTTGTTTTCAAATCTATGAATGTGGATAGTGGGCCTATTTCATAATTTAGTTTTAAAAATCAAGTGTATTATATGTGCATATATATATATAACATTTGATTTAAAAGTAAATCTTTCTGTATATTATACCTAATACTTATACTTAAAAAATGGAGGCTGGACTATCCCTATTCTTTTAAAAAAAAATTGAGCAGCAGCTTCACCTTAATCAATCTTTTTCTCTTTTTAAGACTGATCTTTTTTTTCAAAAATTTTATGTTTCTGGGAAAAGCTGTGGCAGGTGTGAGATTTGCCCTTCTTCTCAGCTCACAAGGCATGCATGCGCCACACTTTTCTGGATATGGTCTGATGATCCGAGATGCCTAAGTCAGAAAGAAAGTTGCATTTGCAGCACTAAGAGCTCAAGCGATCCCCAGGGTCTGTATCGGTTCTCTTCACATGGCTGGGTGACACCTGTGAATGCCATGGTACGCATGCCAGGAGAGGAACTTTATACATAGAGAGTTCGTGTGTAGCAGACAGTGAGCTCAGCTGGTACAGTCCTCATTTACATGAGTGAAGCTTAGATGCAGCGCCCAGCTCTGCATGGACACAGGCTTGTTGGTGTGTGCCTCTAATCCTAGAGGTGGAGGCAGGAAGACCAGGAAGTTGCAGGTCATCTTTGAGTACTTAAGGCGCTAAGGACAATCTGAGCTAGCTTAGACACAAAACAAAACTTTCTCTCGTTCCCAGAGGTGTCATTTCTGTCTTCCAATATTAAATATCCATTATATAAATATCTTCAGAAAAATAGTTTGGAAGAAAAGTTGTTAATGTATCTGTAAAAATATGCCGAGATATGAAAGCAGCATGCACAAGTGTGTCCATCAGTTTCGGAGATTCATGACAAGCTCTCTTTCTGAAGCGCAATCAATCTTCAGTCCTGGGTCCCTAGTAGTCTATGACATTGTTTCTGTTTATTAGTGTATATGAATATTGAATTTGGAAGTTGCCGGTAATGTTGTAGCATCCCAGAATTCCATAGAGAATTGCAGTCTAGCACTTTGTCTTCAAAACACATAGATATCAACATTCTGAGAAGAGTGGTGGACAAGTGGATGGGTGAATGCACTTGGGACCCAGACAAGCGAAAGAGCAGAGTTCTGGCCAGAAGCAGAAGTCCAGTCGGAGACAGCACATAGCCCTCTCAGAATGTGTCCCTTCCCCAGCCAGCATCTACCTGACCTTAGCCGTGTGACTCTCATGGGAGAGCACACACCCATGGAAAGTTTCCTAGCTAGCGAAAGATTTATTTTTGTCTTGCCATTTAATACTTTGCCTTTTGTGGGG